GAATCTTATGCCTGGAAGGTTTGGGATCATTATTTTCTGGGTTAGGGACAAAGTCACCATTCTCCTGGTCAGCACTCGGATCAGCCATGGGGAAGTCATTAAACTCTGAATCAGCTTGACTCCAATCATCGGCCTTTTTTACCTCACCCTGGGCCTTCTCAAGTCTCTTTTCCTCGGCAACTCTTCTCCTCTTCTGTCTCTCTGTGGCAGCCTCCTGTCTCTTGGACTCCGGAATATCTTGGCTAGAAATCATGAGAGCCCCTATACTGCCAGTCTTCTCTCTCTGTGCTTTGACAAATGCCAGTTCGATCACAGGAATCTTCAGTTCACGCTTGCAAATACAGGAGATGTGGGCCTCGGATTTACAGTCACGATCGCATCCAAACCCAGGACAGAGAACAATTGGGCACTTGCAAGTAATTATGTCAAATAACTGGTCCAGTTGCTTGGCAAAGCTGTCCTTAACTGCAAGTTTTCCTCTCCCAAGAGAAATATCTCTTGCCTTTTCCCAACTGGCTAGCAGTCTCTCACTAATCTTCTTCTGACTTGTTATGACTGGAGGCTTGAACTGAGCGTTAGCCAGAGTGTACTGTGCCAAGACAGCTTTGGTCATATCACTGGCAATGTCTTTGTTTGTGTAAGTTCTTTGGTTCTTTTCACTGATTTGCCTGATTAAAACACCGTATCTCAAAGCATCTCTCAATGTAGGCAACTCCGACTTCAGGAGCTCTCTCCCAGACCCAAGATAGTGACTGAGATGGCTGGATTTTTGGTTCCTCGTCCTGACACAAGCAGCCATCGCAAATATTATCAACTTATAAATGCATCAGAATCTGAAACAGAAAAAAATATTGTTAGTTGGGTTGTTAAAGAATGAAGTCAGAAAGCAATGTTCACTATTTAATTGTAATGCACTAATGCAGCTGTACGTTAGATTTTCGATAAATTTCACGCTAAAATTTACCTAGCAAAAGGTTGCAAAATATTGAAACTGAAATTATTTTCTGTTTATATACACTAAAATCTACCAAAAAAGTGATGGGCCATTAGTTTTAGCTGATCTTCCCTCCTATGACACACCTTAGTATCACGTAGTATACGAATAGGGAAAGAACGAGACCCCTCTATGATTGAAATTTTTCCCTCATAGGTGAATGAAGAGAAGAGATCCTGATGGGGCCTTTCCACATTGGTGGTTGCTATTGGTTTGAATTTGGGATCCAGGGAACTACTTTTAGAAGTTCGACACTTTGGGTGTTTACAAGACTGGATCGTATGGCCTGGTCTTTTACTGTAAGAACAATAAAACTTGGTTGCATCAGGGGGGGGGTGGGGTAGGTGTGGGACCTTTCGACCTACCACTCACGTCCCCAAGGTTATCATCAGAGGAGGACCTAACATGCCGGAAAGTACCACGTTCCCTACTGCCCAGTGACTCCACCAGCAAGGCGTACGCATCAGCCAGCTCAGCCACACGCCCTAAATTAACCTCTCCACGCTCCTCCACATGCTTCAAGATGTGAAATGGTATCTTGCTCTTCCACTCCTCCAGGACTACCAAGTTTAACAAATCCTGAAATGTGGAGGTCTCTGTAGCCTCTAACCACTTCTTGAAAAACCTAAGCTTTTCTTGAGCAAACTCAACAAAGGTGTGTGAAAATGTTTTGGTTAGTTTACGAAACTTCTGCCTGTGTCTATCTGGCGTGATAGCATAAGAGGTGAGGATATTCTTTTTTACGTTATCATAATCATCAGTCTGGTCTAAACAGTTATAAACTCTACGAGCCTTACCACATAATTTAGGAACTAACACCGACACCTACTGGTCCTTAGGCCACTCATTCTTCCCGGCTATTTTCTCAAAAGTCCTAAATGACCCGTCCATATCGGATTCATCAAACTCGGGAACAAGGGAAGAAGCATTAGCAGGGTTAAAAGCAGCTAGTCTCTCTTTTAATGCTACTTCTTTTGATTTAAACTCCGATGTTAAGGTGACTTCTGTCTCTTTCACCTGTAGTTCTTTCAGTCTAACCTCCTGCTCCAACTTGGCCTGTTCCGACTTTTCCTCATGCTCCAACTTGGCCTGTTCCAACTTTTCCTCATGCTCCAACTTGGCCTGTTCCAACTTTTCCTCCTGCTCCAACTTGGCCTGTTCCAACTCGAGTTCTTTCATTTTGATTTGGAACTCGAACCTAGCTCGTTCTAGTTCTAAGGCGTCTACTCTTTGTGTTTTTTCTTGAGGGCTAGCCAGACCTGAGGCAACTTCTGAGTGAGGAGGGGTGGTGGATAGTGGTTGGACATGGGCGTTAATTGGTCAACAGCGGATTCTTCTAAAACTTCTTGTTGAACCAACATTTCAATTACCTGATTTTTTAACATTTCCTTAGTCATTTGCTGTGAATATGGGATATTGTAATAGGTGGCTATACTTTTCCATTCTTTCTTCAGGATATTAACACGTAATTTAGCTACGGAAGGATTTTCAATAAAATCCTGGAGATCAAAACCTGAGGTGGCCATTGTTAAGAAAAACTAGATAAATTAACTAATTGCCAAAAAGATAAGATAAGTGGATTACCCTAGAAAATATCACGGCAGTGGATAACCAGAAAGTCCCGGAAACTACCCAAGTTATACCTAGGGAAATTACACTTATAATTATTGTTCTTCTGATAAGATCCTTAGATAAGGATAAGAGACTTGGAAAGATACTTGAAACAGGAAGGGCGTATTATGGCATTAATATAAAGATCCGGATAAACAACCCTTGAGTTACTTTATTATTGACCCCGAATGAGATAATGAGAAGAACAATAATTGAGGCTTTATAATTATGGGGTCCTGGTAGAGCGGGGCGTCCCAAGATATCACTTCACCCTAAACTAGTGACTATGGAACAGCCTACTCTGGAGCGAGGGTACGGCATTAAACAGATCGGGATTCTTCCCTGCACTCGATAAGACTTACTACACGACTGCCTACGTGTAATAACAGGTAAGCCTTATGACACTCGGAACCTAATATCCTACGTCTGTCACTCTTACTGTACGATAATACCAATATATGCACACACCTATGAAGGGAACTTTAAACCACCGTAAAGTAATTGTGAACAGAAGTAACTGGGAGGAATAATTAACAAGGAGTAACAAGGAGGGAAGAAATATGGCACTTAAGGTCGTGTCCTGTCACGGTCGCCATTTGTTACGAGTTGGGGATTTAGAATATAGTTAAAAGTCTACCCAGATCCCAACAGGCAACAACAATAAAAAAACTTAAATAAACAAAGACAATCAGACTATAAAAGGGTAGACAAAGGATGCGAGTTTTTGTTGTGTATAATAAAGTACCATAAATTCCTTAACAAAATATTCAGCTTTCTATAATTTACCCTTAACCATACTTAACCTAAACATACACAACATTGGCTTAACAGTATATACATATTTATACAACATACAACAATCTGAAGCAAGTGGAGGTGGGAGGTAACATAAAATACTCAAGTGCGGTGCTGAGGTGTCTGACGAGTAAGGCTGAGTATTTGAAGAAGATGGTAGGTAGTCACTGTGCCGTAGGTTTCCAGGATAGGTGATCCTAGTGTGGTCACTTCCCAGAGTGAACTGCACTCTCCTCGATCCGAAGCTGATGAGGAAGACTTGGAGGAGGTGACGCAACAACCGGAATATAGAGAAGGGAAACCCGGAGTGGTGACTAAGACTAGTCATACTCGGGTCGCGTCCCTAGATGGCGTTGCTCGTGTTGCTGGGTAGGTAGATCATGACACAATAGATGGCGTGGTTCGTAACAGTATCCTTCCTTCTTCAACACTTCTTTTAAGTAATGCAAACACATAATGATAGCAAAAAATAGTAGGAGACACTCATTGTAACTAATAATCCTCTTCAGCCACCCAGTGACCTTCAACTCTGCTATTAGACGTATTATGTGTATTTTAGTCCCCCTTTATCCTGTCAGCCAAATCTGGAACCGCTGAAATGTGATCTGCTCTCCATTATGCTTTCTCTTCCCCCAGATTATGTCTTTATCTGCTGCATTTATCGACCCTACTATCTTTAATCCAACACTCCTTAACTTCTTCAACTCAGTCAACCATTCTGTTGAAACTGTCAATTTTTATTTTAATATTCATGTTATTACCCCCTGGCTCACCCACCAGTTCCTTACTTTCTCCTTACCTCGCCTCTACAATATATCAGACGACTTAACTCTTCACTTTCTGTTTGATATTACCTTTCTATAATCTTTTAAACCTCAGTCGCAACACGTGTCAGTCACCATTATACTGTACCATCAGACTCTATTCCTCACACTTGTAAATTGACACCCCCTTCTCTCTCATATTTTTCCAACACCTAAGACCTACAGTTCTTTAAATTTAGAACACCAACAAACTTGTAATCACACATTCAAACTATTATATCCTATCCAAGGCATACTATGTAGGTTATGTATCTAAGCTACTGTGCCGAGTAGCAACCCTGTACATAAGCTACTGTGCCGAGTAGCATTTATATATATAATCACGTGGCATCACTGCACGTGTTATGTGGCAACATTGCCCCGAGGCTGCCATATGGCAAGGCTGCCTCAGTCTGACTGTGTGAGCCGTGCATGGCACAAGCGAGTCACCACTTGTATTTCTCTCATCCATAATAAACGGACTCAGTGTTACTCAGTGTTTCCCTAGCCATCACTGCATTCTTCAGGGCACACTAGTAACTTTCATACTAGGCAAGTTGAGTTTGAATATTGGTCAATTTATCAGCCTCATTCCAGAGGACGCAATGCCATGCGTACCTCCCTTAGTTCATTCATTACAGTATGTTATTAAAAAGAGTACGGAGTGACATGTGTGTGTACTTAAACTGATCCTGAAAAAACTTACATTAAAACATATAGTTAACAAAAGTATTATGATTCATTATTTATATTTCGTTCATATCTAGTAAAATAATAAGTCATAAAAAAACTCGTAATATTATTTGCTAAATAGATTTATTATTCACATCTAAACACCAATTTCTACAAGTTTTGATAATTAAATTATAACATATGGTTTTGATATAATAGATAGTATATATTCTGTGTTTACATTGTTGTGAGCTTTACGGACATTATGTTAATGTTTCCATTTGGTGATAGTTAACAACATTTTCTGTGTTTACTGTAGAATTAGGGGTATTGTGTGTCAGAGAGTATCGCATGTTCTGGAGGCAATCTAGTGGATCGAAGTGCAGGGAGAAGGGAAGGGAACGGGAAGAGAAGGGAGAGGGAATGAGAAGGGAAGAGGAAGGGATGAGAAGGAGAAGGGGAGGGGGAGGGGAAAGGAAGAGAATATAAGTCGAAAAGAAGAAAACGAGAAGAGAAGGGAAGAGGAAGGGATGAGAAGGAGAAGGGAAAAGGAAAGAGAGGAAGGGAGAATGATAGTTGAACGCGGACATAATTAACTACCATAAAAACTAGAACGGGGAATGAGGAAAATAACAATCGGTAAAATATCGACCTATTGGTTATATACAGTAGGTGTCAGCAGGTGAAATGAAGAGGAGATATGTTGAAGGTGCATTTACAAGTTATTTGAAACATGCAATTTGCAAACTCAAGGCATTTAGGGGCAGTTAGGGCTGTCGTAAGCCCATGAAATGTGTTTTTTTCCCTCGCACTCAATTGGAGCCTTGTAAAAACGATATGCCTACAAGTATATTAATACGTGTAGGTTATCAGTAAGACCAAAAACTCTATTAGTGCATGTAGGTGTTTTCTACTCGGACTTGTTTACTCTAGTAACAAATATGATGTAATACGTGATACCTATGATGTCAGTACAGAATGTGTTGATGAATATTGCTTCTCACAACAAGTAGAACTCAGTTCCAGCATCGTGCAGTCGACATTGACCAAGCTACATCACCATCTTCTTCGTAATTCAAAGCGTCGTTGTGATTAGATTTGTATTAATATAGGTGAAATACTGGTGGACGGTGTGGTAAGTATGTCACACTTCGCTAACGTCCAGCTCACACACAGCTCCAGCAGGAATACTAACATCGCCGTCGTCAGACCTGGAAGACGCCAAATGGGGTTGAGCTGACGGACTCATCTCCAAGGAAGTCTAGCGTGGTGGGGGGTGGTCATTCAGAATTTCTTATAATTCTTTTGTCCGTTGTTTTTCCACATCAGTGATTACGTGAAGAAAATACAATTTCACACTTGAAAATATAAAAAATCTGATTCTCGTCAATATTTTGATAACTATTTTCAACAGTATAATTTCAACATACCAAGAAGTCATATGTATTAATCTCTGCATTCAAAAGCTTGCAACAACTTTCCAGAAAGAGAGGTGTATGAGTGAAAACTTAGACTGGCCAAATTTCACGTAATACCCAAGCACAAGATTATACCCAGCTCCAGTTTACCTCCGGCCAGCACTATGATGGACCCCATGAAGGAGTCCAGGTCGAGGCCTGACACCGTGTTGGTAGACTTGCCAGCGGAAGGCGGCAGGAGGCACTGTGAGGTGTTGGTGATCTCCTTCTGCAGCCACAAGTTGATCACCCCGGATTCCTTTACTCTTCTGAGCCTACGGGTAAGAATGGGAGGGAAGAGTGGCCAAAAAAGAACAAGGCGTAGCTTGTGGAAAATAATTAAAGAAAATAGAGTTCTGAGAGAGTTGTCATAGTATTTCTTGTATTTAATAACCTATAAGATTACTAATATGTTATTCCACACATCATCGAATCCTAGTAATTAATAACAGATGAGGTACATTTTTAATAGACATGCTTAAGTTGTTGCCTTCAGTAAAGCAAACGACTGCGACTGACATGACAGAGAAGTTGTTTGGTACTACGGCAAATATTAATGAACTATTCCAAATTTATTCCATATGGGGAAACATACCAGAAATATGCTAAAGTAACTCACCAGTTAAATATTGTGGTAAGTGGAAAAATCATCTTGAAATTTTATTAAAAGCGTAGCACTATTCTAGATTTGGTAACACTGTTCTAAGAATTTTTTTCATACGTTGTTTTTAAAGATGAATTTTCTAACTAAAATTACCTAACGAAATTTTCTCACATTTTTACCCATTTTGTGAATAGTAGCGACATCACTGAAAAAAAGTTGGACTGGATGTGTCCTTTAGGAATGACAAAAATAAATACCACATATTCTGCTAACACAGCACTGACCAATAATCAGCCTTTTCTTTGTAGGAAGAGTTTGTCCTGTAGGCCATAGCGATCATCACATTACTGTAAGCGACCTCCCGGGAGATGTACAGGTGACACTGCCCCGTCGAGCTGTAAATTTTATTCTTATTCGTTTTGGTGGAGATTCTAGTGATTGTACTGCTGAGCAGCCGAATTCATGCTCTACAAGATACTTCACTATATACACAATATACAGAGGTTTGCGTTATAATAAATGCTTATCAGTAAAAAAAAATCTAATATTGAATGAGTTGGAACTTTTTGTTATTTGAAATACACCAAAGTTCTCGACCCACGGACTATGCGAGCAATGGGGTTGGAGTAGTTTTGAGTGCCCTTCTTTCGTACTTGTTATTGTACACCAGTCCTTGTGTACTCGTCCATGTACAGTAGTCCTTGTATACTCAGAAACAAAGAGTACGCGAGTCATCAAGAGAGAGTCAAAAAGATCTTATACCTGAAGTCCCAGGACATGGCCTTTTTCATAGTGGTCTTGTCGCAAATGCCAGCAAACTGCCCCTGGGCGATGGGCTGTCGTGCCGCCCAACAATCCTGGAAGGTCCCCTCATGACCGTCAAACACAGCCTTTCGTATCCCCTCCGTTGCTTCCTGTAATTCAATTCATTCTACATTACCTGGTCACTTACACAGTTCTGGGCATATCACTCAAGATCTCTTAGAGACAGATATGACAAATGAATAGAAATGAAGCATCACAGATCCTGATGGCACTGGAGTATTAAAGAATTTACCCCATAACCTTTGGCTAGTTAAGACCTACTTATAGAGTCCTAAGCATTATAAAAAAAATACTGACGCAGAAAAAAACAGCTTCTAATGACCAATGACTACTTAATGGTACTACTGTGTATATAATCAGCCTCTGGGGTCCTAGAGACCAGGTGATGATACTAGAAACTAGATCGTACGCAAAGACCCGAAACCTACTTGATAGTACTGAAACATCATAGAACCAGCCTCTAGGCGCCATTGGAGGTCCTTCTGAGTGACTAGGTCCTCCACGGAGTCTATCGGGATGGTGACCCGAGGCACAGTCAGCATGGCCGTCAGGATGCCGCTGTAGGAGGACATGAACACCAGCGACGCCAACAGCCAAGTCGTCACCACCAAGCGGCTCCCGTCTGTCTTTGGCAGCCACTCAGTGCCTGGCCAACACAACACTCAGATCTACTTTGTTCCTGGACTGATTCCTGTATAATTTTCTTTCATCCTTCAAGTGATTATTAAACAGAATTAAAATTTTTCTCAGTTAAAAGCTAGGGTACCCGGAGTTTCCCGGGTTTGTGTATTATGGGGACAACTCCCCCAAATTTACCTTTGACACTTCCGGGGCGATTGTGCATCTCCAAGTCAAATTTCAGCTTTGTATAGTGAACATCCACACAAACAGACACTGTGCTTTCTACATATACATCTAGACATATGGAAAGAGAGAGAGAGAGAGAGAGACACGTGGTGAACTTACTCTCCTGTGTGAGTGCCTTGAAGACCCATATGACGGCGGTGGACACGGGGCGTCTATGAAAGAAAGAATCGCATTAGTATTGAGGACCAAAACAATGTTTACTACACTGCACAAGTTTGAACATGTGTAGGTGGTATAAGAAGAGGTAATATATACAATGTTAGAGAAATATAAAAAGAATGATCTTACAAGAAACTTTGAAAGGCGTTGTCGAAATGTTTCAGAATTAATTAATTTATTCTTACTACAGTAACATTGCCGCCATACCTGTTAGACGTGTTGAAGAGCTTCGCCTCCTGCCAGGTGACAGTGGCGAAAGTGAGGCAAATACAGACCATCGCCGCCAACACCAGTGACCACACCTGAAACACACAAACCCGACCTCAGGTTAAACGTATCCCCCAGTTCACCGAATAAGAGCGTACGCGAATAAACAGGAGAATCTTCCACCAAAGTGCACAAGAAGCATCAGAAAAATGTCCATCATCTTGGATTCGTGACAATGAAACTCAAGTGTTTTAGTGTTCGCCAACTATGCGGTACACGTATGTCCTCTTCTACTTTGAAATTAGCAGGTTTTGCCGACAATAATCAAGCTTCATTCCTGTCAAGTGGGTAATTTTTATTCTATTTAATATATATTAACAAAATGAAAATACAACTGTGGCTGTAAGATATACTGACGGTGGGCGTGAAGGGCTTGAGGAAGCCTGACAGGTCACTCTGGAGGCTGGGACGGACCATGAGAATGGCCATGTTCTCACTGTACACTGGCTCAGAGAAGTCACACACTGTCTCCCGAGCTCGTGACACAGCGAACGGCCCTACCGCCATTTCCACCTCCTGTAACACAGAACACCACCGGATTATGCTCATGCTTCTTATACTCCAAGTTGTGGGACGTTCAATACGCACCTTAATTTTATGTTTTGTGTTTTATATGATTATCTGTCATGCATTCAATAATAAAAAGTTGGACATGGTATTAAAATTAGACCTGGAAGATAGGCAAATAAGCCAATCACAACAGCAATATCAGTGAATACAATTCTTCATTTTAACTCGCTTGCCAGTCAACAATCATCTACTTAATGACAGAAAGAGATGATACACAGAAAAATGTGGAGAGAGAGAGAGAGAGAGAGAGAGAGAGAGAGAGAGAGAGAGAGAGAGAGAGAGAGCAGAAGATCATTTACCTGTCGCTGCAACATTCCCAACATTCCCGTCCAATTACCGTCTGGGCCAGCCACTCCCCACATGCGGTCTGGCGGCTGCACCAACTCGTATCTGACCAGGACGGAAAAACACAACTCAACTTAAGTTTCCTTTCTCGTCGTAGGAGCTGCACCTTAATTATTATCCACAGGTGGTTAATAATAATTTCGGTACATGAACACAAGACTTTACCTAGAGGGTGGCAGATCTATGGAACAGTTTACCAGAAGAAATAATGGAATCAAGAACAAAAGGCTTCAAAATAGCTCTGGACTGACACGGCTAACAAGGACAATGAAGGATCTTATACAGGCCACCGTCACAGGTTCTTTGGAGCAGATGATGTTCTAATTTTGTGTGTTCTCACAGTAAGATAACACTGCTTATAATTATTTTATACTGAAAGTCCAACTTCTAAATCCTCTGATTCATTTAATCTCGAAAGTTTATTGTATAGACCAGTGTAATGTTTGGCACTAACTTAAACGAAACTTTACTACTGGGGTTACCAGTTACCTGTCTGTTGTTCTTGTGAATTGCTTACTATATTAATATGAACCAATCTGGACAGTTTTATACATTTGAGGCACACTGGCCTCAAGAGGTTAGACCAAGGAAAGTTACAGTCGTAATGGAAATTGAAAGATGTTAATCAATATTAAAATTATAAAAACATACATGTGTGAATTTAATTATGATGAAGGCGTGATATTTTGCTTAGCGTGAGTGCGTGACACTTGATCAAAATACGTGAGTCTTACGACAAAAGCGTGAGACTTGAGTATTGCTATTATTGTCACATACAATCATTTTTCTAGAATAATTACACAAGAAAATGGTTATATAACTGTACTTGAATAATTATATTTTTCCAGTATCTTGTGCAATACTCACTCAAAGTTCAGTTTATTAGCGAGGATCCGGAGTAAGTTGTCCATGGGGCCGTGGATGGTGACGGTATCGTTGTCCAGCATCTCCACCCTCGTCCATGGCACCCACTGTCATGGTGAGTAATGAGTGAACTGAGTGTCTGTTACTCTCTTTCCTCTCTCTCTCTAGATGCTCTTCTATCTTTATTTATTTTTGCATATTGCGATCTCTGTTTCAATCGATCTAAATTGGTTGTCGAAATATAATTCAAATTTATTATTTTGTGCAATAGTTGTTCAGCGCAGGATAACAAAACATTTACGATTTATAGCCACAGACCATACTGACTCATCCTACGTCATCTACAAATTCCTCACCTCTCCAGCAGCTATCCTCAGAGAGGCCTTCCCCACCATTGTCGAGTAAAACAGAACCTGTGTCGCTCTCTTGGCATCCGCTTCTACAGGAGTAGCCGCCTCTGTCGTCGAGCGTCACCCTCCACGCGTCACCAGGAGACTAGTGGTCTGCTCCTTGACCTTAGAGTATTAGCACCGAAACCCCCGAGAAGAAGCACCTAAATGATGACTTTCAATATGATTGATTTATTGTGAAGCTGAATGTAAAAGTAGACTGCAGAGCGCTGTCTTCAGAGACTGACACTGACCTGGCCAAATAATAAAGCCACTTAATTTGGTCCTAGAAGTACACAACGCATGTACTCTGACTGATAGTGATAAAGGCTTTACAACGCTTCGGGCAAAAGAAGTGGAGGCCCGAGGACTTCACTGATCAGAGTGGCTGGTGGTTGTGTCCTAAAACTTGCTTAACGTGGGTTTATTGAGTAAGTTGTCCGGGGAGTGGGCGGTGCCGAGCTGAGTAGGCTTGCCATAGAAGTGTGAGCTATGTCACACCCGTCACAGAGGTTGGTGTCCTATGTAGTTACGGGACACCAGGTTCGTGAAATAGTTAAAATCGTCAACCTTTACCCGATTTACTGTGGTAATTTTCATTGTCCCGAAATGAAATACCTCGCCCAAGCGGCTAACGAGCCGATCAGTGCTGAGGCACAACTGCCCAAATAGAGTTGATAAATTGTAAAATCATATTGTATATAAAGAATTGTGGGAGAGCAATGTGTTTGCTGTGTTTATTCAGTAAATAAGTGATTATAACTTTCGCTGGAAGCTTTGTCAGTGGCATTATAAACAAACTGGGTTTGATTCCTTATTACTCTTGTCAAGTAAAGAGAGAAAAACTGGTTGTGGAGAGAGCCTACCGTAAAAGGCAGTGTTTCATCCAATACTTCCCCACACCTTTCCCTATGTCTGTCTCTCATACACTCTTTTTCTTGCCAAGGAAGGGTGAGTGGAAGTCATCACAAATACCAGAGTCGTGTGAAAGTCGCCAGCTGGAGCTCTGGTGCGCCCTCCTACCTTAATATATTCTCCTGGACTGATTACTTCCCAGCATCATGACACACGTCTTATATTTGGTTCTGCTGATATGCTTAAGATTTCTGATAATAGACCGATGAATATCAGATAAACTTTGTAGGTTGTAACCTCACTTTGACGTTACGAACAATAAACATCTTACCACATTTTTTAAATGGTATTTTATACAGTACCAGTGGTAAGAAAAAAAGGGGGAATCTAAGTGAGCAAGAAAGGTGAGAAATAAACAGTGAAACAAGAGATAAGTGTTAATTTGGTGGTCTACATGTTAGTGGGTGCGGTTGTAGCAGGAGTGACCCACCTGGCTGCCCCTCTCACCCAACACCAGCTCCTCTCCCCTACCACCCCAGCCACCACCTCAATCACGAAAACCATGAGTGCAGTGTTCAGACCTGCCGACAAGTAGATAGAATTATTACAATATAGCACGGCTAAATTCAAATTAAATGAAAAATGGGATTAGCTTTAAATTCACTAAGGAGGTTTATCTAGTGACTCGAACAAATTTACAGTTTTCATATGCTTAAACATTTTTTTTTTAAATTTCATGAAATTTTGACCCCCTTATATTGTAGGTCTAAATTAAACATTTTTCCTGAACAATGTCGAAAGAGATGTCAATACATTATAGTTGAAAGGTGGTGTGTTATACAGTATAACCATTTAAAAGATAAGCTTTACTTTAATTTTATCCTCTTCACCACTGATCGGCTCGTTAGCCGCTTGGGCGATCGGTCAAGTCTCTGTTACTTTTCCCTTTCTTTTATCCTTCACCAAATGATCGACTCGTTAGCCGCTTGGGCAATCGGTCGCGTCTCTGTTACGCACTGTTGGCAAGTACTGGGCATGCACCGGCTCCTAAATGTACCTGAACCTGGTCCAGTGTTGGTCAAGTCTTGTCTTGAACGAGCTCACATTCAGCGCCGCTACAACACTCTCTGGCAGATTGTTCCAAGAGTTCACAACTCTCACTCCGAAAAAGTTTGCTCTCACAGTTTTCTGGACTTGCGGCTTCTTCAATCTTGAGCTGTGACCCCTTGTGGGGCGAGCGTCCGCCTCCTCCAAGTAAGGACACTCGACTGAGTAGTGCCCCTTGAGATGCTTGTACACCTCAACTAGGTCACCCCTTGCCCGTCTGTAGTATAAGCTAAGCAAGTTCAGGCGCTCCAATCTCTCAGGGTAGCTGAAGTGCCGAAGTGCAGACACCAGTCTGGTGGCCCTCCTTTGAACATTTTCAGCCAACTGACAGTCCCTAGCAAATCTCGGGAACCAGACGGGGTGACAGTACTCCAGATGGGGAAGCACTTCACTCTTGAAGATCGTTACGAGGGACGGACCGTCTAGATATCTGAACGACCTTCTTATAAGACCCAATAATTTATTTGCCTGGTTTACCTTCTTCTCACAATGGCCCGAGAACTTCAGCTCATTGTCAACATACACACCTAGGTCCTTCTCACACACAGTCTCAACTAGTACATTTTCTTCATCCCGTTGGGACATATGATACGCCTCCTTACCGTTGGTACGCCCCAGGTGCATCCTCTTACACTTCGTGACATTGAATCTCAGCAGCCATTTCTTCGACCATTCCTGGAGCCCACAGAGGTCCTTCTGCAGCTCTTCACAGTCCGCTTGGTTCTTAATTTCCCGAATTAACTTGGCGTCTTCGGCAAACATTTGTATGGAGGAGTGTACAATGTACGGATTTTATACACCCTCTCAGTCCTTTAAAAACACAGAAAAATAAAATAAACTTTCTTTGGGGTGATAATAGAATGCCTTTACGGATAGCCAAGCTTGTTGGTTTTATTTATTTTTATTTTAACTAGTATTTCCTTATACTTTCTTTTCTCTTTGTGCTATCACTGTGTACACTGTATCTCCCTGTGAATGGTGTATTGTAGGCAGTTTCAGTTCATGAGAAAGCACACAAACAAAATAAAATTTAAAGTCTCTGTGGCACCTATAACACCACTTGGTTTCAGCTGGCAGTGGTGCCTTTCCAGCTTGCTTGCTAATTTATATTCACTTTAAGTTATTTACAACCTCTTCCGCAGTCACTGATGACACTATGAACTGATTTAACTAAAGGCACAGTAGTGCACTCCCTGGTTAGCCTTTATCACAGCCATGACCACAACTCCGTAAAAAAAAATAATAAAAGTTTTGTCATATGTCAATGATTTTGTGGTTGTATGCCTCGTGCCCTGGGCTGTACCTCCAACTCGGTAGAGATTGAGTTTTCAAAAATACAATCGCATCTAGCATTAAAATCCTACATCGATTTACACTTTCACATCACTAAGACGATCTTGATGATCTTATGTAATCACTGTCCAATTTCTGCCGCTCAACAACGAAGGCCCGAGTGCCGAACGCGCTTTGTTACAGAGACGCAACACGACCCGACCCGCACCTTTTACTTTTACTTTTATCCTCTTCGCCACTGATCGGCTTGTTAGCCGCTTGGGCGATCGGTCACGACTCTTTTCCTTTATATTCTTCACCAAAAGGTCGGCTCGCTAGCCGCCCGGGCGATCGGTCACGTCTCTGTCACGCACTGTTGGCAAATACTGGGCATGCACCGGCTCCTGAATGTACCTGAACCCGCTCCAGTGTTGGTCAAGTCTTCTCTTGAAAGAGCTCACACTCGGTGCCGTCACAACACTTTCTGGTAGATTGTTCCAAGAGTTTACAACCCTCACTCCGAAAAAGTTTGCCCTCACGGTTTTCCGGACTTGCGGCTTCTTCAATCTTGAGCTGTGACCCCTTGTGGGGCGAGCGTCCGCCAGCTCCAAGTAAGGACACTCAACTGAGTAGTGCCCCCTGAGATGCTTATAAACCTCAACTAGGTCCCCCCTTGCCCGTCTGTAGTATAAGCTAGGCAAGTTCAGGCGCTCCAATCTCTCAGGGTAGCTGAGATGCCGAAGTGCAGGCACCAGTTTGGTGGCCCTCCTTTGAACATTTTCAACCAACTGACAGTCCCTAGCATATCTCGGGGACCAGATGGGGTGACAGTACTCCAGATGGGGAAGCACTTCACTCCTGAAGATCGTCACGAGGGACGGACCGTCTAGATATCTGAACGACCTTCTTATAAGACCCAATAATTTATTTGCCTGATTTACCTTCTTCTCACAATGGCCCGAGAACTTCAGCTCATTGTCAACATACACACCTAGGTCCTTCTCACACACAGTCTCAACTAGTACATTTTCTTCATCCCGTTGGGACATATTGTACGCCTCCTTACCGTTGATACGCCCCAGGTGCATCCTCTTACACTTCGTGACATTGAATCTCAGCAGCCATTCCTTCGACCATTCCTGGAGCCCACAGAGGTCCTTCTGCAGCTCTTCACAGTCCGCTTGGTTCTTAATTTCCCGAAATAACTTGGCGTCATCGGCAAACATTTGTATGGAGGAGTGTACAACGTCAGGCATATCATTTATGAAACAAACAAACAACATCGGGCCCAATACACTACCCTGCGGTACCCCACTTGTTACAGGTACAGATGACGATTTCGTGCCATTAATCACCACACATTGCTTGCGGTCATGTAGAAAGTCTTCTATCCACGCTAGGACATTTCCCCGAATTCCGTACCCTTCCAGTTTGATTTTCAGCCTTTCGTGGGGTACACTGTCGAAAGCCTTGGCAAAATCTAGGTAAATATTGTCGATATTACCACCCCGTTCTAGAATATGGGTCCAAATATCCAATACCTTGAGCAATTGTGTCAAGCAAGAGCGCCCCGGCATAAAACCGTGTTGGCAATCTTTTACAAGGTTGTTTCGTAGTAGATCTTCCATCGCTGCATCTCTGATAATACTCTCAAGTACTTTACATATTATGCTGGTCAGGCTCACCGGTCTATAGTTGTTCGTGGAGTGCCTATCGCCCTTCTTGAAGATAGGACTCACATAAGCCACTTTCCATTCACTGGGGACCATTTGTTCATCCAGGCATTTACAAAACAGAATCTTCAGGGGCTCTGCAAGCTCGTTGCACAGCTCCCTTAGCACTCTAGGATGCACCATGTCAGGTCCAGGACTCTTATGGACCTTTAGCCTGGACAGTTTATTTCTAATACCCTCTTCTGTGAACACAATGTGGGTCAGTGCTGTGTCGAACCGTCTGTCCTCAAACGCAGGAAGGTTAGTTGCATCCTCTCTTGTGAACACTGAGGAAAAGAAGCTGTTCAATGCCTCAGCTTTATCCTGGTCAGAATCTGCGTAACTACCATCTTCAAGCCTCAGGTCTGATACTCCTACTCGCGTTTTCATTTTCGACTTTGCATAGCGGTAAAACGCCTTTGGGTTTGACTTGACCTCGCGTGCAACCAGCCTTTGGAACTCCTTTTCAGCCCTCCTACACTCTATCTTTGCTTGGTTTCTGGCTCTTGCATACATCCTCCTGTCTTGCTCATCGTTTGACCCAACCCACGTCTTGAATTTCTGGGTTTTCTTCTTAATTTTGTCGACCGCCGCATGGTTCATGTGTAGGGATCCCCTCGTATTCCTAGAAGCACTGGGTTTGGTCTTGGGTATATATTTATCGATCAAATGGGTCATTTTACTAGTTATGATATTCAGCGTAGTGTCTGCGTTCTTGTACCTTAATAAGTCAGGCCAGTTGATACCCCTCATCTCTTCCCTCATCCCATTGTAATTTCCCTTGTAATATTTGCACCTTGGCCTGGCCTTATCTTGAACTAGGTAACAGTTAAATCTGAATGACAACACTGTATGGTGACTGGTGCCAACTGGGGCAAGGTGTTCCAGTTTGGCCACCATACCCTCCTCGTTTGTTATGATGAGGTCAAGTGGCTTGGGTGTTTGCTCCCCTCTGTAATGTGTCGGGTCTCTCACATGTTGGAACAGAAAATTATCTCTCAGAGTTTCTACAAAAAGAGTAGCAGGATTATTCAAGTCATTCGGGGTTGACTCGTTTCTCCAGTCGATGTCGCCATAGTTAAAGTCCCCCATGATAAGGAGGTGGCTGGGGTTGAGCATCGCCGCATTGTTTATTAAGGTTCTTAAGTTCCTTTGATTTAGTGGGCCACAGTTCGGGGATCTGTAGATACACCCGACGATAAGTAAGTCCCCTCCCTTTAATTTAATTTTACACCACTTGGACTCTTCAAAAACATCCTCTCCCTGTACCCTCGCCTGGCTGGCTCTAAGGTCTTGCCTAGCGTAGATAACCACACCCCTCCTGCAGGATTCTTGAGTTAGGTTCGTAAATGAGTCATATCCAGCAATACTGAACTCACATTCCTCTGGGTCGATTCTCCTGTTCTTGTACAACAGTTCTACAACTCCTACAATATCTGGTTGGTGTACTCTTAGTAGTGTTTCAAACTCCTCCCTCTTATCAAGGAACGTGTCGGTATTAGTGTACATGACATTCAAGCCAGAATTTGTTCTCGGTAACGTCTCTGCTCTTAGTAATAAACCCGCTCCACCCACATTCTCAGAAGCTGCAGCATTTGCTAAGTACACTGTATTTTGCAGGGTGTGGTTAAAAATGGCATTGTTTACACGACGCTCGTTCCCTCCTGTCCGGTAGGCTGAGCCGGTGCCGCCTCCCGGGTGGGGGGTTGAGTGGGTGGAGGGTGCACTGCTGCCCCCTGGCCCTGTGTCGGCACACTTGTTTCCACTACCCTCCCCCTGAGTATAACCCATGTGCACCTGTCCCCGTTCCTTCTCGACTCCTCCCTCTTCTGCTTCAAGTCCAGCAGGAGCTTCTTGTGCTGTTCCCTCTGCATTACCGTGCGGTCTGGGTGAATAAATACATCTCGAAATGCCTCGCTCCTTGCTAAGTTTTTTGCCTGCCGGATAACTTGCCATTTTTCCTCCTCACTCCCGAGTGTGATCCTGAGGGGGCGAGGCTTTGCCCCCTGCTTTTGTCCCAGTCTCCTCACATCCTGAGGGGTTGCTGGAATCTTCAGAACCTCTGTGCAAATATTTTGAAACAGCACCTTGTCGTGTGTTTCCTTACTCACAGTTCCCTCTGCCTGGCTCTCTGGGACTCCAAAAACTATTACATTGTTCCTGCGCTGGAGCCGTTCCTGGTGTTCCTCCTCTCCCCTAACAGTAGGTGCGTTAATTTTCATTTCTTCGACACACTTTTTCAGAGTCCCAATCTGCTGTAGAACCTGTACTGATTCTGCATTACTCTCCGCCCTCCCCCGTGGCCCTCCTAATACGTCAGCATAACTCCTCTTAGCAACCACCTCCATTCTATTAGCTACTTCCTCAGTCTTAGCAAGGATCTCTTTCTCAACTTGCTCCAGTTTGTCAACCAGCAGGGCTCCTGCTTCATCTATTTTCGTCCCTAGAGAACTCGTTCCCTTATGGATTGCAATCGCTTCATTCACCTTGACTATGCAGCCAGAGCAATACCAGCAACAGCCATCATGCTTTACGGCAGTTAGTAACCTCCTAAACGCTGCATTAGTTAGGCCTGCATCCTCCATATCCGACGTCTCCCTGCAGTAATCACATATCAAACTCATGGTTGTTGTTGTTGTGGGGGGGGGGTGCAGACTGTGTATAAATCTACACCTATTTCAAAGAAAATAAAGAGAGAAAAAGTACTTAGCTACTCTCTGTTGCCTATGGAGTTGTCGTCTGCCAAACCGCTGACTTAAAAGTAATAACTAAATAACATAGAAAATCAAAATCCTCAGACGGCTTAAAGAAAACTGCCATGTCCTTAATTTTATTCTTCTGTCAAATCAGCATTACGCTTGGGGCACTAACATTATCTTGGATTTGGATGTCGCCATTACATTCAGCGACGTGTGTCCCTTGAGCTGCTGTAACACTGCTTGGTCGGACTGTATATAACATCTACAGTACAGACAACGTAAAGGAAACACCCACAATGATCGCTGTGGGCTTTTTTTTTTGTATTTATGTTTAGGAAATTTGTGAACATGAAAACTACCAGCAATAGTTCCTGACCTACTCATCACCAGCACTCATCACCAACACCCATCACCATCATTCATCACGAACGTCCATCACCAACACCCGTCGCCCACACCCATCACCAGCATCCGTCACCAACATCCGTCACCAACACTCATCACCAACACTCCTCACCAACATCCATCACCAACACCCGGAATCTACACCCATCACCAGCATCCGCGTCACCAACATCCGTCACCAACACCCGTCACCCACACCCATCACCAACATCCATCACCAACACCCGTCACCAACACCCATCACCAGCTTTCATCAATAACAACATTCCGTGGCACCCTTTCCTCTCCTTACCTGCACCCATTATCAATATCGGACCCATGTAGGACTCTAGGTCGAGAGCAGAGATGTTTTGAGAAGACAGGTCGGCAGAGGGCGGCTTGAGGCACTGAGACGTGTTGACGATCTCATTCTCCAACCACATGTCCAGGATCCCAGACTCCTTCACTCTCCTGATCCTAATCCACACGTTAATATGTATGAGAGCCTGGCGGTGGTGGGAAGGACGGGGGAGGGCTTCTACTGCCCCCGAACCTGCTGTTGTTTTACGGATCTTACAAATATCCTGAATATGCAAATCTTCCGTTTCTTTACTATCACGTTTATTTATCTGTTTGTTCATTATGCCATTTGAGTTTCTGTTTTATCGCTAATTCCGAATGTTGAAAATGTTTCTATCAGAATCTGTTTTGTTTTATAAATAATTAATTTCCCTTAGGCAAAAGCATCTTATTGTAAACTGAATCAATCGGTCAATAGAATATAAAAAATATATGATGTTCAGTCTTCTTTACACTTAACATTACTAATTCCAGCAGAAAAATCAAAACAAAGTATATGAATGGGCTGAAGCATTAGACATTTCATGCAAGGAGTTCGTGATTGTTGACAAAATGTACAGAATTTACTGATGGTGAAACAGGAGCAACTTACCAGTAGTCGCCGGCGTCTTTGTAGCGGGAGTTGGTCTTGAAAGCGACAGCCAGGTTGAAGCTGTGGACAACTTCCCTGGATATGTACAGGTGGCACTGTCCACTAGAGCTGTTTAATGAGATGAAGGAATTTATAGACACCGGGTTATTCAGGTATTCGGAAAGAAATATAAGAGTTTTATATTGCGGTATCTCCAGCCATTTCATATTCCAGTAGTAGTGAGCGAGTTCGGTTGGGTTATTCCAGACAATCACCCCGGTTACGTCAGCTACTATTCACCTGAAGTCCCAGGACATGGCCTTCTTCATGGTGGTATGGTCGCAGAGAGCGGCGTACTTCCCCTTGGAAATGGGCTCCCTGGCCGCCCAACAATCTGGGAAGGTGCCTGTGTGCCCCTCGTAGATCTTCTGACGGATTCCGTCTGGTGCTTCCTGTAGAAGGAGATACCAAAAGAAAGCTACTAACTCAACTTATAGATAACAGATACCTAAAGGAAGGAGTCGAGGGGCAGAATCAGGAGGCAGAAAGATGGGTTGGAAGGAAGAAACAAGTAAAGGCCATAAGAACACTGATATCTGTTGAACCAATCACGTTAGGAGTCTTAATCTGGGATTTATATTTTTCCTGGTGACCAAACCGGAAACAGTAAATGCCTTAAAAGAAGAACTTGGACCCGAGCATGTAATCAAACTAGAATTTGATATTCGACCACCAGAACTGAACCAAGATTCGGTGATTCCCAGACAGATTTTAATCTTACAATTTTAATTGAAAATAAAATGTTATGTAAAAATTGGGAATCGGGTCTAAATCATAACTTGAAAATCAATGCCCGGATTCCGCTGAATTATGGTCCGTATGAACTTCATTTCTGATGCCATGCCCAGGTCCAGAAAGATAGACAGAGTTTATTGTCAATTAGATACATAAATGCCTCTGAATATGACATGTTTTGACTGTGGTCCTGTATTTTCAGCGGCTCCTGGCATATAAAGTTTACCTGAAAGTACTGAAGCATCCAGGAGCCAGACTCAAGGCGCCAAGGCATATCATTCTGAGAAACGAGGTCCAACATGGAGTTTATCGGGATGGTGACCCGAGGCACAGTCAGCATGGCCGTCAGGATGCCGCTGTAGGAGGACATGAACACCAGCGACGCCAACAGCCAAGTCGTCACCACCAAGCGGCTCCCGTCTGTCTTAGGTAGCCACTCAGTGCCTGGCCAACACAACACCTAAAATATCTACTTTATGTCTGATTGGATCATTCTGTGTCTTTAACCATTTCTATGAAATAGCTTAGATGAATTATATTAACTCCTTTATTGTCAATTATAGTACAATACTCAAATAACTGGCGTGACCAGACATGCAGGGGTAACTGTTTATTTAAACAGTAGCTGGAATACTGCTGTTAGAATTATGTATGAACCCCTATTAAGATGCATATTGTACGCTAAATAAATATTCTAAGACTCTTTTAAAAGTAAGTTGCAGCACTTGTAAGAGGCATTTTCATAATGAAAATATTGTAAAACATACTGCAATTATATGTAATTATGTATAAGTGTTTGAGAATTTGAACACTGACATGAGAGCAGAAATTATGTAAGAGCATCCACTGAAACAATATATCCAGAAGCGAGAGAGATAAGGGGTGGGAGAAGAAGTAGGCAGGGTGAGAAGAACCTGACCTTCCTGGGTGAAAGCCTTCATGACCCAAAGAGCCGAGGTGGAGACAGGGTTCTTAGGTCGCTGGCGGAAGAGGCGTCCCTCCACCCACATCACACCCGCAAAGCCTACGAAGATGGCCACCATACTCGCCAAAATCAGGAACCACACCTGAGTTATAAATATTAAAGGTAATTAAGCAACAAAGACAAATGATGAGGTGTCTGTGGATACTGTACCGAATCACGATAATTTCAATATTATCCACATGCAAACTGTGTTGAGACGAAAATATAAAACAGATAGTAAACACAGTGTATCTCCTCCCAATATGTAAACTACAATAAGGAACAATGTACTGTACAACCGGTAACATAAAAGCATGAAAAGTGGATGATACTGTATTATAAAACCCAGTATTTTACAAACTGTTGGTCGGAGAACACAAAAATACTCACGTAGACGTTTTTTTTTCCAACAATTGGCACTACCAACAACTGACACTATCAACAACTGACACTACCAACTACAGGCACTACCAACAATAGGCACTACCAACAATAAGCACTACCAACAATAGGCACTACCAACAACTAGCTCTACCAGCAACCGGGACTAGGGAGGGGTGTGGTGGAGGAGTACCGAGGGAGTAAAAGGTTTCAAGAAGCCGGCCATGTCACTCTCCTGGGTGGGCCGTTCCACCAGGATGGCACTGTTCTCCGTCTTGACAGGTACCGAGAAATCACACACGGTCTCCCTTGAAGCCGTCACACCAAAGGGCCCGAGCGCAAATTCTACCTCCTGCAACCGTGTTATAGAGGAAGATTATGGTAATGCAATGGTTAAATTATGTCTTATTATGCTGGTTCTTAGATACTGTACTCCCAAATTTACCAAGACGCCTCTCGTGACCCGTGACTCACCTCCCGCTGCAGCATACCCAGCATCCCCGTCCAATTGCCGTCCGAGAGGGGTACACCCCACACGTGGTCCCCAGGCTGTACCAGCTCGTACCTGTACATTGCATCACACACACACCAAAGTAATGAATGTTAGGCTGACATGGCGAACTTATAGAGTAGAGCTTATGACATGATCTACACGCTGGACGTGAACTATGGTCATTATTGTAGCCGTAATTAGACTGAGTGGTGTATTTATTCGTATCTAGGAAGTCCAATACGTGTATTATGAGTGCTGGTACATGACAGACAAGACATTGCTGAACCAAGTAACTCCACACTTACTCGAAGTTGAGTTTGTCAGCTAAGATGTAGAGAAGGTTAGCCATAGGTCCCTTGATGTGTAGTTTGCCCTGCTGGTCCGACGTAACCCTCACCCATGTCCCCCACTGTCAAGGAAGTGAAGTACAGTATTATGAGATGCCGGGTTCAGTTGCCACATGTAAGTCACCATCAGGTGTCAATCAAAGATGGCGTATTTTTTTTATTCTATGATAAATTTGCTTTACACTATTTTATTCATTATAATCATGGGTTCGTAAATAATCTTCGAAAAATAAATTCACTGAACGACTTACCTCTTCTACCGCCACCCTCAGAAATGTCTTCTTGATCGACATAGTAACCTGGTACCTGTACCCAGAGATTACAAAAATGCTAACTAAATTGTGATAATTAAAATTTTAAATGGCACGAAGCTGTTGATAATATTTTATTTTAAATTGTATTTGGTGCTGTTAATTGTGTGTCGTGCTGTCAGAGTTCATCACCCTCAGCTCCGAGATGCCTGCCCCTGGATATCACACGCTTGCCTTCCCGTTCATTACAACAACACCCTTTCTGCAGATATCGTTCACTACAGTCACATTTCTCAAACCCTCATATCCTGAAAAGCGAACTTTAATTCATGTCGTTAATTTCACGTCGAATTTACACCAAGGGTCTTCTCGCGTCTACAGTATGTATGAATTGTAAGAAAGGGAGAAAGTGAAGACGTAGACTTTCCAGTACAATGGGTTTACTTGTATCTGGGGATGCCTGTGACGCCATAAATTATCTGACGGGTTGTTATGGACAGCTACGGCAACAGCACGTTGTCACTAACAAAATATCCCAGAATTTATTTTTGTACATCAAGACTGACGAGCCGGTCAGTGGCGAAGAGGATATAAGTATAAAGTAAACCTGACAAGTAGGCCAGCTCCCATTTTACCTTCAGTTACAGCAATCAGGAGCACACGATGGCGTTTTACTACAATATACAGAATTAATTCCCCCAATAAAAAAATAACACTATCTCGGTTTTTTTTTTTGCAATCTGTTTTAACTGCTTAACAAAAGTAGACTTTTACATTTATGAAAAATTGTTTGTATGTACTGCACGCTCACTGTACACCGCCCCCATGTCATACCATGAACAAAAAATGAAAAAGTCAAACCTTAAAAAAAAAAAAATCAAAAGCACTTAGTTACCATTGTGTCGAATTTCAGATTCTTAGCTTGTCGCCCGGGCAAGCAACAAACCAGACCCTTGACAAAGAACACAAGAGTATCCACCACGTACATTAATATAAGTAAGTAAATAAATAAATAAATTCTGCACCCCTGAGTCTGACGGCCTTCACAACGATAACTGATTGAGGCCATTTTCTTCCTTTGGAAAGGTTGGTACCACTGATTGTGTGATGCATTGTGTAACCAATTCGATGTAGTCTGTATATCACGTATAGTTAATACAGAAATATTAACAGGAATACATAACTCATGAGTGTTGTTCAGAAGTCTTAGTCCGGCGTGGCATATTATATAACACCGCAAAGGTTCAGAAGTTGTTTATTTATTTTTAATTGTATAGTTAACACTCGCTCCTAAATTATTTTTACGGAGGGGTCCGTCTCGGTAGGGTAATCAAACCTTCGTTCGTTGTCATTTCAAACCTTCGTTCGTTGTCATTCGTCTAACACAATAGTATAAAGATACTTGAGCCTCTCGTGGCACCTGAAGACGGAATGGGGTAGGAATTAGCTGTGGGCGGTGTACAGTTAGAGCTACCAGCGTTTCGTCAGTGCAACACCCCTATAGGAATCACAAATACTAGAACAGATGAGAGTTGTATCCCAGCTCTCTGCTCGCTTCTACTGCGTCTACTCACACGGTCTTCGTCGCTAAGTAGGCGTCAGATGATGAGAGCTGTTTAATGGGTTATCAATCAGCTGATGATCTGGAATGTTAAATGCGTTATTATAATAGAGTGAGTAAATGTCAGGTCATAGCCGTGGCAGGTGGTGTAAGTGGAGTAATAATTTATGAAGAGAAGATGGCTTAGCAGATGGGTGAAGAGATGTTGTTTTTAATTTGTTTTTGTATAGTAACACGATACGAACAGATGCCCAAATCATGGCCACGTTGGAAAGGAAAGAAAACATTAAAGGTCAGTCCATAGATTTTTTTTTAGATTGCCCCCGAGGGGGCTAGTTTATTGGGCACCCCCTTACATCCTGTGTAAGGTGAAGCGCAGAGCGTTTACAGTGCCCATCGGGGAAGCATGCGGAGTTCATGCTTGCCTTTATGACTCATGCATTAAGGGCGTAAAAGCCTGAAAGATCATGGTTTTTGTCAGCAAGTTACATAAAGTGACAGAATGATGAGTGTGTGTGGGAAATTCCCAGTACAATTTATGTTTATGGCAAAGCGTGGCAGGTCCCTAATAATGTCAAGTGCCAGGCCTGTCACTAGGAGGAGGGATATCCGGTCAGGGAGGGAAGAGGTGTTGGTAACGGCTGGGGACCTGTAGGAGGAGGTCATAGGGTAAGTGAGGATGTAGTGAGAGAGGGTGTGAGTCGGTTGACCACAAAGTTTACAAACAATGCGGCCAGGCTCAGGGTTGCCAATGTACTAGGCGTGGCGAAGTACAGTTGGGGTGGAGGTGATATGGTATGGTGGGACAGGTACAGTAGGGGTGGAGGGAGGCACATAGGCATTGACAATATTGAGGGACATACCTCTTTGTGTGATTGTGATGGCATGTGCGTCGACATGCCGGTGGGGTACGGATAGCCGGGGATGGTGTCCTCAGGTCCAATAGGTGGCCCTGGTGGAGTCCACACTTCCCAAATAGCCACAGGCCTGACCCTAGAGGGTGAAAAGGTCTGGTCCAGTGACGGAGCGAGTCGCGATAATGACTCCCACGTGTCCACCACACGTCCGCCATACGTCCGCTAGACGTCCATCACATATCCACAAGTCAATGACGTGTCCATTAGACGCTCAACACAGATCCACCACAAGTCCAATATTTTTTCTATAGGAGTCTGGTGAAGAGGATATTTTCTACATATCCACCACACGAGCAAAAGATATGCCGTCGATATGAGCATGTAATGAGCATTTGGTGTACATGGTGGGCATACAGTATAAAGGAAATGTGGATACAAATATGGTGGACATGGGGCGACATGGTGGGCATGGTGGACACATGGTTTGCATGATGGACATCTGGAGGACATGGTGGACATATTGAGGAAGTGGGATGGACATATTATACCCTTGTATGTCCACCATGTCCTCCCCATTTCCAACAAACCCTACAAATGTCCAGCATGCACTCCTTATGTCACATGAAGGTGTAGTGGATATGATGGAAATGAAATGGACGTCGTGGACATACTGTACGTATGTATGAAATGGTTGATATTAATTGGGTGGACATGGAGTGGGCATGTGGTGAACCGTGAACTTGGTGGACACATGGTCTATACGTTGTTTGCGTCTGGTTCATAAGAATCTTTACCAAAAATCACCATTAGATAGGTGGAGGCCTGTCACGGTTGTGGGTATAGTTGGCCATTAGTCAGGTTGCCGGCAAGATCTGGGAAGCTCCTTCACTTGCCAGGATCTTGAGCCAACATACAGTACACCGTACTCTAGAAACGTATTTGAATAAGTAAAATAAGATGCCCTGCTATTGTAATAGATGATAAAACTTAGTAACGAATCAATTAAAAACCATGAAATTAACACTTGTAAATAAATAAATACGTTCTTTGTGTTTCAAATGTTATTGTTTTCCCTATTTATTAGCATTTGTTGATATTAATACAAATTAGAAACACAACAGTGTTCTACTAACAGATCCTGGACACAAAACAAATAAGCCAAATGCGAAGCATCAATTTTGCACAATTCCATCGTGAAAACCCCGTGTAGATGACCATCTACTGTAAACATCTTCTGCCTTTCAAACATCGATCCGCTGGTGAAACTGTGGCGCCACGCCACGTCGGAGCCACCAACTCAGTGGTGCCAAGCAGCAGGCACAGTAGAGGGTTTCTTTTTATTGTAAATTATTTTTAGATGTTAAATCAATTGCATAAATAAATTCACAAATGAATAGAACACCATTCATCCAATACAGCTTCATCTTCTGGCTTCGAGTCAAGACATTCATGCCACCGGTGATCTGGCACCACCTAACGTGTAAGTCTCGTTCAGGCAATAAAGTTTGCCGTAGTTTCACATAAGATGAAAAATACTGAGTTGCGACTTGAAACTAATACTTGATAGGGCACTGACTGAATACAAGTTTTGTCACCACAATACGTATCTTGTGCAGTTCCAAATTATGTCAATCTTTTTCAAATTCATTTCTTACAAACAAATAATTAAGGGCATTCATAGTCTAAAAATTGTAATGTGAGGCGTTACTTTCCTCTGCCACCACAGACTGACACTGTCAGTAAGATCTTATCTTACCCCAATTTAGCATTTGTCTTGTCATGTATACATGATCTGGCGTGATGCATAATGAAAGTGGGTCCCATCGACTCCATAGAGTGATGGCTCATTAGGGGCAATAATGATACATAATACTGAGTACTGGGAATTCATGATGAGCTTGAAGCAGACGAGTGAAGACTCGATGAAAACAGGAACGGCGTCCAGTGGTCTATGCAGGGCGGGCGCATAAATCCTGCATCACAGGGATTGGGTGGAGAGGTGGCCACCCAGGTCCCCGAACCTCTCACCCCTCGATTTTTTTTTCCTGTGGGGACACTTGAAAT